CCCATCCTCCTCCACCCCTAGTCCCTCGTCTCAGAGCCCCGAATCGCACCCACGCAAAGCAAGGGGAGAGGCGATCCTTGTGGTTTTTTTCGTTAAATAGCAATAAAACGCGTGTTTGCATCTAATCTAAAGCGTTCATTGCCTGTATTTTCTGCAATCCAGCCAAGATTTATTTTTTTTTCTCCTGGCGGGAAATAGCCAAGTTACAAAGTTTTTTAAAAAGTGTATATTCCAAAGGTCGCCACAGCTTGTAATTCAACGTTTCGAGAAGAGAAAAAGGAAAGAAAACACAATTTTAGCAGAGGATGGTTTCGATCCATCGACCTCTGGGTTATGGGCCCAGCACGCTTCCGCTGCGCCACTCTGCTTTGTACGAAAAAAACGGCTTTTCTTATCTACCTTAACGTCAAGTCTCTGCTTCCCAATATATTTATATTATATTTTGTTTGCTGTGTTAATGTTATAAAAGAGGGGGGGGGTCTCCAAAGTTGACAACTTTTAAGACTTGTGGGCTTCAATTCCCAGAATTCTCCAGCCAGCAGTTTGGAAGTTGAAGTCTACAGGTCTTCAAAATTGCAGAGTTTGGAGATCCCGGTTATAAAGACTTTGAGGAGGACGGCCACACTTGGGAATACTGCATCCGGTTTTGGTCACCATGATGTAAAAAAAGATGTTGAGACACTAGAAAGAGTGCAGAGAAGAGCAGCAAAGATGATTAGGGGACTGGAGGCTAAAACATATAAAGAACGGTTGCTGGAATTGGGTATGTCTAGTTTAATGAAGAGAAGGACTAAGGGTGAAATGATAGCAGTCTTCCAATATCTCAGGGGCTGCCCCAAAGAAGAGGGAGTCAAGCTATTCTGCAAAGCACCTGAAGGCAGGACAAGAAGCAATGGATGGAAACTCATCAAGGAGAGAAGCAACCTAGAACTTAAGAAGAAATTTCCTGACAGTGAGAACAATTAACCAGTGGAACGACTTGCCTCTAGAAGTTGTGAAGGCTCCAATACTGGAAGTTTTTAAGAACCACTTGTCTGAAATGGTATATAAGGTTTCCTGCCTGAGCAGGGGCCTGGACTAGAAGACCTCCACAGTCCCTTCCAACTCTTGTTATTCTACTCTAATCTAATTATTCCAATCCCTGACAAAGACCCTGAACGAAATTAAAGAGGCAGAGGAGATACCCACTATAGGTAGTCCTCAACGTACGACCACAATTGAGCCCAACATTTCTGTTGCTAAGTGAGACAGTTGCTACCTGAATTTTGCCCCACTTTACGACCTTTCTTGCCACAGTTGTTAAGTGAATCTGCTTCCCCACTGACTTTGCAAAAGGGGATAACCTGACCACGGCGGACACTGCAACCGTCATAAATATGAGCCTGTTGCCAAGTGTCCAGATTTTGATCACGTGACTATGGAGATGCTGTAATGGACGTAAGTGTGAAAAATGGTCATTAGTCCCTTTTTAACTTCGAACAGTCACTAAATAAACGGTTGTAAGTCAAGAACTACTCAAGGAGGGGCATATAAAACACATTGTCTCTTGAACACAGCAACTTTTAAGATACTTGGACTTCGGCTCCCACATATTAAAATATTTTGGTTATTATTCATATTAAGATAAATATGAAATACTTCAGTTAAATATTTACTTAATGGTGAGAAGGTCATTCTGCCCTGGTGTCAGCCAATTAGATTTATCTGTTTCCCTCCCTTTTCTTGGACTTCCCTATCATTTCATGGGCTGCCCTAATTGTTTCTTCTTTTATTTTTTAAATAATTGGTTGCAATATTTGCTTTTTTGCTTTATAATTTTATTTATTTTCTTACAAAGGGTTCGTATATAGCCTTTTAAAATCCAGCAGCTCAGATCATTTTAAGAATACAGAAGAAATATGTGAATATGGATTCAACGCTGGTGTTCACTAATTGCTTGTTGGCATGAAATGTCTCTCCAAATACTTTCAGAATTAATCAGTCAAAGGTCACTACAGTATCAGCGGGTACCCCAAAAGGACGGCTAGATGACACAATGTTTGCTTTCCATCCATCCTCCAACATGTAAGACTCAAGATACATTTTTTCAGAATACAGATACTTCTTGACTTATGAATGCAACTGAGCCTGGAATTAATCAAGTGACAATGCCTGATTTCACAACCTTTTCTGTGACGGTTATTAAACAAATGCAGTGGTTGTAAAGCGAATCCATTGTCGGCAATGGATGACTTTTTGCCAGAAACCAGAAGTGATAAACAGTTTCCAGCAAAACACATTGTACATCACTGTCACGTGACCACAGATCACTGCCAACAGCCATAAAATTGGGCCAATTGCCGAGCACCAAAACTGTAATCACATGACATCAGCGGGGGTGGGGCACGACTATCAGAACGTCAAATCTGGATTGTAAGTGCAAGCAGCCCTTCACTTAGGACCACCAGAGCCCAACATTTTCATTGCTAATCAAGACAGTTTACTGAGTTTTGCCCCATTTTACGACCTTTCTTTCCTGCCATAGATATTAAGTGATTCACTGCAGTTGTTAATTCGGTAACATGGTTGTGAAGTGAATCTGGCTTTCCCATTAACTCTGCTTGTAAGAAGGTCACGTGACCTCATGACACTGCAGCCGTCATAAAGATGAGCCACTTGCTAAGCGTCCAAATTTTGATCATGTGCTGCAATGGTCATACGTTGTGAAAACTGGTCATAAATCACTTTTTTTAGTGCTGTTATAATTTTGAACAGTCACTAAATGAATGGTTGTAAGTCGAGGATTACCTATAGCAGTAGTGGCGAACCTTTTAGAGACCGAGTGCCCAAACTGCAACCCAAAACCCACTTATGTATTGTCGGGTGCCGGGTGGGCATGGCCCATTGGGTGGGTGTGGCCGAGGGCAGGTGTGGCCCATTAGATGGGCGGGGCTACGGTGGTAATGGCAGACTGGGTGGGACTAAAAAGTTCAATCAATTCCAACTTTGCGAGATCTTTTTTTCCCCCCAGAAATTGAAATTGATTGATTGACTAATTGAACCTTTTTTTTTTTTGCACACAGCGGCGGAGGCTTAAAGTGAAAAGGTTTTATAAAACCCAGCTGAAGGCCTAGGACTGGGGCGAGGGCGCACGTGCCCACAGAGAGGGCTCTGCGTGCCATCTGTGGCATGCGTGCCATAGGTTCGCCACCACAGACCTATACAGTAGTCTGATATATATCCAGTCACAGCAGCTTGGCTAATACGAGTGGATAGATCCACATTTTATGAATTTTTTGAACAAGCAGGATGCTGTTCAGGCACATACAGGCCATCCCCCCCCCCCTTCATAAAGTGTGAGTGTCATCAGGACAGATGTTAAACATTATTTCGTTCTATTTTTATGCAATAAAAGTAGAAAGCAAAATAATTAGCTCTACAACTCCTGCTATACTGCCTCATTGGGGAGATTGTCCTGGGAAAAGTGGAAAACACCAGCTCTGTTGCTTATACAATCCCAACAGAGTCATCCCATGTCATTGTCATTGTTGAATTAAAAGCAAGCAGGCACCTGCATAGGGCAGCAATAACATACAGGTAGGTCTTGAGTGGTGTGGTTAATGAATCTCACAAATGCTTGAATTTGTCCCATTCAAAGTGATATTTTTAGGGAAAATAGGGTAATTGGTTCCAGCTCACCAGAAATAGGGCAATGAAAAAAATGTAACGTCATTTTTTTATATGTGTACTAATGAAAAATTAACAGTCAAGAATAAAAAAACTTTTACTTACAATTTAAATTTAGTGTTACCAAAGTCACAATTTGTTGCACATCGAAAGCAAAATAAAAACAATATCCATTCTACCATACATTCAGGGCATTCCGACATCTCGTCCTATTTTAGCATTGCTATGACCATGTTTATTTATTTATTTGCATCCCACCTTTATAATTTTTACAAATAACTCAAGCCGGCGAACAAATCCTTCCTCCTCCTGTTTTCCCCAGAGCAACAACCCTATGAGGTAGGTTGGGCTGAGAGAGAGGGACTGGCCCAAAGTTACCCTACTGGCTTTCACAGACAAGACGGGACTAGAACTCACAGCCTCCCAGTTTCTAACTTGGTGCCTTATAACTATAACTGGCTTTTGCTTATGTCCACCCTACATTATGGTGACCTATATTTTGGCTCGCTCACCTGTTGATCTCAAGGTCCGATGTTTTACAGGTAGTCCTCAATCACAATTGAGTCCAACATTTCGTTTGCTAAGCAAAGTAGTTTATAAGTGAGTTTTGCCCCATTTTATGACCTTGCTTGCCCCAGTTGTTAAGGGAATCCCTGCAGTTGTTAGTAACACGGCTGTTAAGCGAATCTGGCTTTCCCATTGACTTTGCTTGTCTGAAGGTCGCAAAAGGGGATCACATGACCCCAAGACACTGAAACCGTCATAAATATGAACCTGTTGGCAAGCATCCGAATTTTGATCACGGGACCATGGGGGATGCTGAAACGGTCATAAGTCACTTCTTTCAGTGCCGTTGTAACTTTGAACCATCACTAAAGAAATGGTTGTAAGTCAAAGATTCCCTGTAATCGCCACAAACACAAAGCCATCCTTCCGAGATTGTTTTTCAAAAACATACAATACACCAACGCCAGAAGCATCAAAAGTAAGAAGCTTCCCACTAGACCAGGCGTAGGCAGCCCTGACTCTTTTATGACTCGTGGACTTCAACTCCCAGAATTCCTGAGCCAGCATGGCTCAGCATGGAAACCTCTCCCTTTTCCCTCAGCATGGCTGGCTCAGGAATTCTGGGAGTTGAAATCCACGAGTCATAAAAGAGCCAAGGTTGCCTACCCCTGCACTAGACAGAGCTGAAGAAGCTTCTTGGATGAGAAGCAAAACGTCTTCAAAGAGAAACAAGAAAATCCAGTTGCCTTGTGAAAAAGCACCTTTGGGGAGAACCATGACCTGGATGACTTAGAAGCTCCGTAGACATTCCCACTAGAAAGTCTCTCTCACGCTGATTCCTTGTGATCGTAAAGCCGCGACAAACATTTGCACTGATCTTCCAGAATGCCTCGGAAGACTTCATAGCGGTGATTGAGGTCCTTCCGGCTGTGGATGTGGTGTGTTGTGCCCAGGGCCCCCTGAGGGGATGGCGCTCCATAGAAGACCCGCTGGATGCGGGAGTGCACCAGCGCCATGGCACACATCAGGCACGGTTCCCGAGTTAAGTATATGTCGTACCCGGTGCAAATGTACGGAAGGCCATCCTCAAGAGAAGGAGGCGGTTGGGCAGTGTTGTCCGCACAAAGAAAAGTGCAAGCAGGATAATCTTTGAAGCTGTAAGCTCCCCCTCCGTGGCTGTGAGCCACCAAGTCAATGCAGACCATGGCAGCATGGAGAAGTGGGTTGGAGCCCTCTCTACAGTCGTGACCAACAGCCAGAACTCGGCCAGTGGCCGGGTCGACCACAGCAGCTCCTATGGGCTCCATACCCTGCCTCGTTCCTTGCTGGGCTGCTTGGATGGCCAATTCCATGTAACTCTGCATGCGATTCCTTTCCAGGGGGGAGAAAAGACAGCCCTTCAAAGCTTGGCTGATCCGCTTGTTTTCGTGGAAGGAGACAGGCCAGTGCGACACAGCTTCCTCATACTGGGGACGAGTCAAGGGCGCACAGGCCGGCACGTGAACCAAGAAAGGTTTCCCCAAACCACAGAAGTCTACTTGGCCACTGGGAAAGAGTTCAGCGAGAGACCGCAAGCCGGCCTGCTCTCCGTTGAGGCCTGCAAGGCATAAGATCATCTCCAGCGGGTGGGAGCTGCCTGCAGAGAGACAGGCCCGGATACGTTTCAAATGAGGATAGTCACTCAACGGATAGACAGCAGAGATCTCTTTGACCAGGCGACAGGTCTCTTTCTTATCCAGGACAGGGGCGGCATAGACCGGCATGAGCCTGATGCCCTGTGATTCCTGCTCTGAAAGAACAGGCTGCACTTCCCAAGAGGAGGCACCGTTGGGCTCCACTGTCTTCCGTCGCTTGGAATCCGGCTCCATCCTTATTACATTCTCTGGGAACAAAAGAGATGATTCAAGATTAAATGCAGAATGATTGTTAAAGCATTAGTTATATTGTTCACCTTCCTTCCCATCGTTTCCTTCTTTCCCAAAATGTTAAAAGAACATTCTAAACATTATGCCAGTTTTAAAGAAATAAGGCAAGCTTTGACCACAGCTCACAACAGACGTTAGAATTGAACCAAACTTCAGATTTGGTTCCAGGATGTGTGGATGGATATAAATGCAGCCACCATTTTAAATTTTTAAAATTATTAGTTGTTAAATTTATTTGCCATCTGGCTCACCGTGAGACTGAATTTACATTTTTAAATTTTAAGCAACCATGACTCCCCCCCCCCTCAAGATCAGGAGGCAACTCCCAAGAGCTGCCATATGATCCCAGGAAAAAGATGGAGCTCTTTTGAAGAGTTGCAGGAGGGTTAGTCATGCACTGTGAACCCATTTTTTCCCCACTCATTCCAAAAGGTTTCACAACTCGAAAAGCACAGAACCCTCATTCCAGTAGTGACACAACGGTCTTCCAACCCTTGGCTCATTTAACTCCAAGAACAAGGTTTTTAATTTATATTGTTAAAAAAAGGGGGAAACAGGAAATGCCAACCTTAAAAGAGCTTAAAAAAACCGTCTTATTATTAGTATTTTTTTAACACTGCACAAGATTAAGAATGATCTATCTTGGCTCCTGCTCAGTTTTTGATTACATGCCTGGCTTTCAATGGAAGAGTCTTGAGAGGACGGGAGAGGCGCTCTGCACAGGCTCAGGAACTACATTCTTCGTCAAGTGCTTTTCCTCGTTCCTCTGCTTCTGCTGGAAATAATTAGGCACCTTTAAAATATTATTACTGGCTGTTAATTAAAATAATGTATATGGTAATTTTCCTTCTTCCAGTTTGCAAAAGCCCTTGCAAATATGTCCCCACCGACCACATCCAGGAATCCCACTTTTTTAAATTTTTTGCACCACGTGATTGAAAATCTCACCTCATTTCGAATTCTGCAAATTTTTCCCCCGCGAAGAAGCACCGTCTTCCGATTTTCCGCCGCGCCTGCTCTAGCTCTGATTGGCCAGTGAAGTTCTAGGGCTCTCCAAGAGGAGTGCGGTGATTGGCTAAGCAGGCTCCGCTCTTCCATTCCCATCCTCCCCTCTTTCCTTGGACGGCGGTTGGTTGCGACGAGAGCGAATGGTCATCCTAGAACGGCCATATCTTCACATTCGAACGATAGAGAGACGAGCAGCGTGCCGGAAAGAACTGTCAGCGACCTGAAAACGGATGCGGAACTAAGAGCGGGTTCCGGAGCTGGGACATGGAGTCCGGGCAGCAGCCGGTGTGGCGCAGCCTGGGGCTGCTTGGGCGAAGCGCGGAGGGTCCCGGGCTCGGTCCGGGCAACTGTGAGAAGAGGCTGCTGTGGGCCGCTTCGTTGCTGTGCGTCTTGTTGGATCTACAGTTGCCAGGTAACCATAGCAACCGGAGCCCACCTCCATTTCCTTTTTGACCTTAGCAACCGCGCTTCCACTTGCCCCGCCCCTTGTTGCCACAGTCGTTTCCTGTCAATCTTTTTGCTCCAAATCTTGCTTGGCAAGCTCCGCCCAGTCATTCCTCGAGAGGACCTCCCCCTCTGGGCAACGTGATTGGCTGGCTCCGCTTCTTCTTCCCCAATGCTCTTGGTTTCTTCCCTTTAAACCTTAGCAGGTTCCTAGTCCTTAGTGATCTCCTGTCTGTCCCGTGGGACTGACCTCTGTGAACCCATTTGCTCTATATAACGATTATCCTTAAACAGATAGTCCTTAACTTACAACAGTTTATTTAGTGACCATTCAAAGTTAACAATGGCACTAAAAAAAGTGACTTATGACCATTTTTCACACTTATGACCATTGCAGCATCCCCATGGTCAAGTGAGCAGAATTCAGTACGGTTGGCAAATGACTCATATTTATGACAGTTGTAGTGTCCCGAGGTCACGTGATCATCTTTTGTAACCTTGAGACAAGTAAAGTCAATGGGGAAGCCAGATTCACTTAAAAACAGTCTTACTAACTTAACAACTCCAGTGATTCACTTAAAAACTATGGCAAGAAAGGTCATAAAATGGGGCAGAACTCACTTAACGAATGTCTTGCTTAGCAAAAGAAATACGGTCTTAAGTTGAGGACTACCTGTGGTCATATTTAAAAACCCAGAATAGGAGAGAAAGAAATGTTCACTAAACTGGACTGTACAAAGTTGCAATTTAGACCCATCAAAACCTGGTCTATAAGCAGAGAATATCCTTGGTAGGGAGATACCAAGCAGATAAGCACTTTACAATAAAAAACAGTAAAGATTTTATAACTATACAGCTAATTTAGTCAAGTTAAATAGAACGGTTCAAATTAGAAACTTTAGAAACTTGATCTAAAGTTTCAGTGGACTTCTAAACAAAAAGTCTATGGAGATTCTCAGTCATCCAAGTCATAGTTGGATGCTTTTTCAAGAGGCAACTGGACTTTCTTGTTTTTCTTTGAAGATAATAATAGTAGTAGTAGTAGTAGTAGTAGTTAGTAGTAGTAAAGTTGGAAGGGACCTTGGAGGTCATCTAGTCCAGCCCCCTGCTCAGGCAGGAAACCCTACACCATTTCGGACAAATGGCTGTCCAGTCTCTTCTTAAAAACTTCCAGTGTTGGAGCATTCACCGCTTCTGGAGGCAGGTTGTTCCATTGGTTAATTGTTCTAATTATCAAGAAGTTTCTCCTTAGTTCCAGGTTGCTTCTCTCCTTGATTAGTTTCCATCCGTTGCTTCTTGTCCTGCCTTCTGGCGCTTTGGAGAATAGCTTGACTCCCTCTTCTTTGGGGCAGCCCCTGAGATATTGGAACACTGCCATCATGTCCCCCCCTCGTCCTTCTCTTCGTTAAACTAGACATACCCAATTCCAGCAACCGTTCCTTATATGTTTTAGCCTCCAGTCCCCTAATCATCTTTGTTGCTCTTCTCTGTACTCTTTCTAGAGTCTCAGCATCTTTTTTACATCGTGGTGACCAAAACTGGATGCAGTATTCCAAGTTTGGCCTTATCAAGGCATTATAAAGTGGTATTAACGCTCCACGTGATCTTGATTCTATCCCTCTGTTAATGCAGCCCAGCACTTTGTTGGCTTTTTTGGCAGCCGCAGCACAGTGCTGGCTCATATTTAAGTGATTGTCCACTAGGACAATCCAAGAAGCTTCTTCAGCTCTGACTGAATGGTGGGGAATGGAAAGAGCTGGTCATTTGCATTCTTCTTCTAAACAGAAAGGCAGAAAGGGTCTAAGAGCAAATGCAGGAGAACCTCTATGGAACAAATAGCATGAAAAAGTGTGTTCACATTACAATAGATAGTTTTCAGGATTTGAGCACATTTGAGTATTATTTCCTAACTGCAGTCTTTCAAATCTTGCTCAGCACTGACTAGTCAAAGGAAAGGAGCTCTTGTGGTTCTCATGAAAGAGCAGCAATCTACAAACCCCCAAAGAAAGTGCTTTTTCACCCTTTTACTAGCATCCCTCCGAAATCCATATGGCCCCGACCTCACCAAGGTTCATTAAGCCAGTCTCTTTCCACAGATTACCGAGACAGGACAGTGTACAAACTCAACACAATAATGCTATATATATATATGTTAAGCCTACTTTTGTCCCTAATATGGCTGGTTTTATTCTTGTATTTTCATAATTGGTTTCTACTAAGGATGAGGCACCCAGAGTGACTTTCAAGAGAAAGGGATTCCTCAGAGAGGGAGGGAGGGAGGGAGGGAGGGAGGGAGGAAGGAAGGAAGGAAGGAAGGAAGGAAGGAAGGAAGGAAGGAAGGAAATTAGCGAGGTGACATCTTTGGTGTTCGCAAAAGAATTTTTTGTATCACCAGCTTTCTAAGAATATATCAAGGAACTAGGTAAGTGTTTCTCAGCCATTTTGAGGTGTGTGGACTTCAACTCCCAGAATTCCCCAGGCAGCATGCTGTTGGCAAAGATGTTGAAGTCCAGACATCTTAAAATTGCCATCATTGAGAAATGCTTCCTAGCTCTTGATTTTCTGAATGACTTCATCTCTTCCAGGTTTGTTGGCTGCCGGACAAGCTGAGATTGACAACCATCTAGAAATGGGTCGGAAGCTACTGGCTGCTGGGCAGCTGGCCGAAGCCCTCTCACACTATCATTCGGCAGTGGGTGAGTACCAGCTTTGGAATACCAGTTTAAGACGCCAGCTGCCTATTGAAAAAGAGCAGCATTGGCTGATTCAGTTGTATTAACACTGGGGCACTGTCCAATTTCTCTGGGGTAGAGGCTGTGAAAAGGAACTGACAGATCTCTTAGTAGGAGTTATTTAAAGACACAGGAATCAGCCCAGGCAGTTTGAAAAAAGGAGAATTAGATGAACTGAACTGGAACATGTCTATCTTGTTTTTCAGCAAAGAAGGATGATCTCTTATTGACCATTAATAACTACGAAACAGGCAGATCTGCTACGTAATAGGATCAGTATGTTTTCACAGTGTTGCAGTCAGGCTTAATAGGAAAAAAGCAAAAAGCTAAAAAGTTGACCCTGCTGCCAGGACCTGGATCTATTTATTTTTTAAAAAAATATTATTTTAACTTCAAGCACTTTTAAAATCTTCTGATGTGAAATACAAACTGTCCGAAAGGGGAAAATGTTTTTTTTTAAATCAAGCCGTGTCTCTGGCAGAAAAAAAACCCCTACATAGTGCTTCCTTCAAAGCAAATTGTTTTCCCCTTCCACAAATTTGGTGAACTATTATTAGATAAATAGCAAGATTCCTTTCCTTCAGTAGCTGCTCTCAATCTTTTTATTCAGATGTTTAATCCGCCCTTCCTTTATCACAGGGTGCAATTTCCTTCTCCACCCCCTTTCTTAAACTTCACAATAATGCAGTAGAGAAAGCCAAATAGCAACACAATGACCACAGGATCTTCTGATGAGGTTCGGTTCAAGACTGCTTGAGCCACCCCTGGTGGTTCCTGCTGCAGTAAGATGTAGCCATTTCTGCATTGTGTCTTTTGCAAGATGAATCAAGGGGAGGATTTTGCATTCTCAGGTAGGCGCACTCAGTGAGGGACTGCATTATGTGTTTCTGTGCTAGGGGTTTTTTTGTGTGTGTTGCACGTCACAAATGAAGACAGAGCTACAGGTTGGTTAGTTTAGAATGCTAGCAAGGTTACCTGTTAGCCTGTCTTCCTATTAGATATATAATGGCTGAGAGTGACTGCCCACCCTTAAACCTCTAAACAGAAATGATCCTTGGCTCCATTTATTGAGAAAAATATAGTTTTATTAGAAGTCAAGTGCCTTGTAGTCGTGCATAGCCAGAACTGAGAATCACACAGCAAAATCCCTAAGTTCAACTTTTCCCTCCTTTAACTGCTTCCTGTCGCTGACCCCAACCCCCATGACCAATCAAGTTTCAACTAAGATGTTTTTCAGAATGGTCACTTCAAACTTCGGTTGGTATGCAGTTGCTTCTTCTCCCAGCCAGGTGACTTTGAAGCAGCATCTCCTGGAGATATAGCAGCTACTTTCGCTTTCCCCCAAGCATTCCTCCTCCCACCCGCCTTCCCCAGAGTCCATGGCAGACTGTCACTGCATGGTAACGAAGCACCAGCAAGCCCAGGGTAGCAGTTGACATTGACACTGTGGCTGATTTCTTTTCCTCCCCCAGAAATTGATCCGAAAAATTACCTTACCTATTACAAACGAGCCACCATTTACCTGGCTATGGGCAAGTTTAAATCAGCGTTGCCGGATCTCTCGAAAGCAATTGAACTCAAGCCAGACTTCCTGGCGGTAAGTTGTTCTCACCGTCACCCTTTTTTCCTCTTGTCCAAGCTGACATTAAGCTGCAACGGTTTCTTAAGGGAAAATGTGTTTATTCTGGTTCCAAGGTGTTGACCTGGTATTTAAAACAAAAACAAAAAACAGGCCGTGTTCTAATTTGGGGAAGTTAGTTGGCTGTGTGAAGGATCTGATTTTCTCCACTTCCACAGGCCCGGCTTCAGCGAGGCAACATCCTTCTCAAACAAGGGCACACCCAGGAAGCAAAACAAGATTTTGAAGCCGTGGTAAGGAAAATACCTGTTTCTAGAAACTGCTAAGGAGTTCATATTCCCTATGTGGCTGAGTAGAGTTTGAAGGTATCCAGGAGTCGTTCTTTTGGCCTGTGCATCAGAAACGCCATTCCTTGGTAGCAACAACTTCAGCCTTCTTATATACAAGTAGTCCTCAACAACACTTCGCTTAGTCACTCTTCAAAGTTACAACAGCACTGACCTATGATCATTTTTAACACTTATGACCATTGCAGCATCCCCAAGGCCACGTGGTCAAAATACAGGTGCTTGGGCAACTGACTCACATTTGTGACGGTTACAGTGTCCCAGGGTCATGTGATCTCCTTTTGCGATCTGACAAGCAAAGTCAAAGCCAGATTTCCTTAATGACTGTGTTACTAATTTAACAACTGCAGGGGTTCACTTAACCAGCGTGGCAAGAAAAGTCGTAAAAATGGGGCAGAATTCACTTCACAAATTTCTCACGTTAGCAACATAAACTTTGGGCTCAGTTGAGATCGTAAGTTGGGGGCTGCTTGTTGAGGTAGTCCTCGGACCTACGACTACAATTGAGCTCAAAATTTCCATTGCTAAGCGAGACAGTGAGTTTTGCCCCGATCTGATGGCCTTTCTTGCGACAGTCGTGAAGTGAAACACTGCAGTTGTTGTTCGTAATGTGGTTGTGAAGTGAACCTGGGCTTCCCCATTGATTTCACTTGTCAGGAGGTCGCAAAAGGGGATCACATGACCCCAAGACCCTGCATTCATCATAAATACATGCCAGTTTCCCAGCACCTGAATTTTGATCACGTGACTATGGGAATGCTGCAACTGTCGTAAGTGTGAAAAACGATCATGTCACCTTTTTCAGTGCCATTGTAACTTCACACAGTCCACTAAGTTGTAAGTCGAGAACCACCTGAATGCATTTGTCCAGGAGATGGTGCTACAGAGCAGGGCTTTTCAACCTTTTCACGCATTGTACCACTTTTAGGATATGGCAACATCCGAGTTTAAATCAAGTCACCTAGCAAGGTGTCAAAAATTTGATGACCCAAAAAAAAAAAAGGAAAAAAGTGATAAAGTACAGGTAGTCCTTGACTTACAACAGTTCGCTTAGTGACTGTTCGAAGTTACAATGGCACTGAAAAAAGTGCCCCCCAAGCCACAGCCGAGCAAGACACCTGCCTGCCTGCCCGGCGGCACTCTTCCTCCTGTCAGAGGTTTTCATTGTTGTGAGCATTTCTGTTGAGGATTGGCAGCGGGGGTCGGGTGGGGAGTGTTTGGTTTTTATTCCCCCCGTCTGCTGGGTGGTTGCAGCAGGTTTTCATCACTTCATATGACCTTGGGACACTGTGACCGTCATAAATATGAATCAGTTGCCAAGCATCTGAATGTAAATCACAAGACCCTGGAGATGCTGCAACATTCCAGCTGATCGGCGCTTCTTCTGGCTCAGCAGAAGCGCCAGGATCAGTGCTGCTTTCCAGCTGATTGGTGCTTCTTCAGGGCTCAGCAGAAGCACCAGGATCAGCGCCGAGCTCCAGCTGGAGCCTGGTGCTGATCCTGGTGCTTCCACTGAGCCCTGACAGTCCCGAAGAAGCGCCGGTCAGCTGGAAAGCGGCACTGATCCTGGTGCTTCCGCTGAGCCCTGACAGCCCTGCAGCTCCAGCCGTCTCTCGCTCAGGCTTGTGCGGTGCTGCCACCAGTTCAGCTCATTCCCCTCCCCCGCTACCACTTTTCTAGGATGGTCACGTACCACCTGCCAGGTGCCAATGTACCACAGGTGGTACCCGTACCACTGGTTGAAAAGCCCTGCTATAGAAATAGTCCTCCACTCACAATGATTTGTTTAGTGGCAGTTCAAAGGTATAACTGTTGTAGGATCCTCACCGTCACTGATCAAAATCTGAACACTCGTATTGTACTTTCTACATATGAATGTGTATATTTACGGCATGCATTTACAACAGTTGCAACCTCCCAGGGTCGTGTGATCGCCGTTTGCAGCCTTCCCAACCGGCTTCTGACAAAAATCAGTGGAAAAAGCCAGATTCACTCAAGGAC